ACTTGTGTAAAGCTTGAGGGGTTTTTAGGAAAGTGCAGCACACATAGGTTGCAGGTGACCAGCACGGAGCTGGAGTGAGCAACAGTTTCTGAATTGCTTGTGTGGAGGCTTTGAGCATTCTTGACAAACAAAATACCAGGCAGTGCATGTGTATTGTGCAGAGAAGTATTATAGACCACCCATCTGAAATATATACCTTGAATTCAGCATCACAGCATGCTTTTCAAATCACCAGAACTGTAAGAGTCTGCTTGAAACTGATTTAATTTGCTTAAATTACCTTTCTTGTTGAATGCCTGCAGCCATGAATTCTTGCCTTAGTGAAGAACCTTTATTATTATGTTGGCTTGTGTTGACAACAGAAACTATTAGGCTCTCCTTTGAAAATTTCTTTTCTGTCCAGAAAGTGCTTAAGTTGAAGAAGTGGACTCTGGTTTTCCAGTGCTTATGAGTGATAAATCTGCAAATAGAAAAAAGGCAAAAGCTGTTATTAACAAACTAAAGCCAGCGGGATGTTTTCCCTATGCAAGTTCCTCAGGTATGTCATGAATTAGTTGTATAAGGTAGAACAAAGCAGATTTAATGATGAGTACTTTTCTGAGCAGGGGTGTTGCAATTAGGTATTTTTGAAAGCTATCTTTATGGGGGAATTAAATACTGTGTATATCAAGTTTCCAGCTGTTACTCAAAGTTCTCAGAGTCAGTTCCTACTATGTGGGTTGAAGATTAAACAGCATAGTATTTTGGAGGTATGTATCAAGCATATAGAAAAATATGGTCTTTTATATTAATTTTATAAAGACAGTTTCCTTTTGTGGAGTGAAGATACACAGGTAATTTGGTTAGATATTGTTAATGTTATTAAATAGTAAATAAATTAAATAACAGACAAACAAATACATTCAATGATTAACAGTGAAAATGTTTAAATAAGAGCCCAATAGGCCTTCAGCAAAAATTAAGAGTACATGAACATTACCAACTTCACAATCTTTTCTTTTTCCTTGCTGAGAGATGTCTATTGCTCCAAAAACTTGTTTAAAAAGTCCCAGACCTAAACCCTAACCCCTTAACAGTGCTGGACGCAGCATATGTATGGATACATACCTACAAACACCACAATTTTTTTTTTTAGAGGATAAAGACCCAAACAGTATGTCTGAGTTTTTCATCTTTAAAATAAGAAAATATTAAAGAATCACTGCTTGAGCCTTTATAATAATTTATTGCTCTATATCATTCTTCTTCATCAAACAGCACCAACTGGTCCTTGTTTCTGCCTCCCTGCCCCTGTTTCTACATATTTGTGCTGCTCTGGGCTCTAATCTTGCTGATTCTCAGTTTGGGACTTGTTACTTTTCTGAAGGCACCTGCTGATAACTAGCTGCCTCCATCAGTCTGTTGGGACAGTAGAGCCTTTTCTGTCCCCTCTTATCAACTTAACTGTTTTTCAGTTCTCCTGCAGTTCCTACAGCTGTCGGGTTTCTGTGTGGTTTCACATTTCTTATTCCAGGGAGCTATTATAGTTTGTGGTTGGGTTGTTGTGTTTTTTTTTTTGTATGGGCTGTTTGGTTTTTTATTTTTGCTCCTACAAAATAGCTTAATTTTCAACTTTACTAATGAACTATGACTTCCTTTTATAACTCTGTAAAGAAATAGCTGTGCATGGTGATTTCTCCATAGAGAAAGTGGAGGCTATAAATATGCAAACATCACTTTTGGCTTTACACAGTTTAATTGCTTTGTATATTATGCAGATTCCTAGGCTTAAAAATCTGATGAGAGCAAGTAACACAGTTGTATATTCACTATCTTAAAAATGCAGGCACATTGCTGAAAAGTGTGCCAGTATTTTTGAGTGTGCAGGTTTACATCTTGCTGGTGTTATTACAGGGTGTGTAGGGTGTTTGCGTGACTGAGGTTCTTCACCGAATGCAAACTTTATGTTTCTAAACTGTAAATTTTTGCAGAGCCTATGGAAAGCACTTGAAGCAGCTGCTGCTGCTGCCATCCTTCTAAATGCTGAGATCACAGGAAGCAGAGCTGGAAGGGACCTCAGGAGATCACCCAGTATATCACTACCCTAAAGCAGGATCAGCCAGTTCTGAACATTTCCGAATAGTCATAGATTTTTGAGCTCGAGGCAAGAAATCAGGAGGTTCTTATGTTGTGTTTGAAATTTGAAATAATTTTTATTTTATTGGTTAAAGTACAAACCAGAGGTATAATCCAGGATATTTCACTGTGATGTCTGAAGATTTTTTTTTTTTTTTTTAATATGTATATGCTTCATTGTATCTGTAAAAGGTCTGGGCCCTGAAGACAGTAGTCGTGCTATGATAGGGGTGTAAGGTAGGCACTGAAATGCCTCACAAAGTTGGGAACCATTTCAGTAAAATACTTCAAGCCTCTTTCTGCTCTATTGGTTTTTCTAGTGAAGTCAGAACAAGGACTAACGTCTGAACACCCTGTTGAAAAGGCAGGCAGCTATGTTTTAGCTATCCTGGCAAGAGAGATTTAGATATTAATAACTGGGAGACTTCCAGTGTCCTATTTTTAAGGATCACCTTATTCAGAGAGATGTATTGCTTTGATCTAGCCACTTGCCTTGAAGTTCCTCTTCACTGGAGGCAAATCAGGGAAAAGGAAAGAAAAAGTATTGATTTGCAAAATTCAAAGTAGACAACATAGATGCAGAATTTCATGAAGAAAGGTAGAAAGAAAGGAAATTCAAATTGTTCATGTATTTCTTATAATAGCTCAAAATCTTTCTTGCATCTTAAGATCCAACTCACAGGCTATTAAAATATTCAGAATCCTGTGGCTGAGGACTCATTTCTCCCACTTATACAAAAGTCTTGAAAGAGGATCTAGATTTGGTAACTTCGCTGTTTTTTATTTGTGAAGAAAATTGGGAACTTTGGTATTTCCTTTACATTACAAACTTCTTCAGAAATTTTTCACATACATTAATTACGTGATGGGAACTACTGGATGAGACACATTTTCTACTCTTGAGCCCAAATGTGCTTTGAAGCGGTGATGACTCTTTTCCTGCTGCACTGCATTTTCAGCAGTGACAGAAGAAGCTTCTGCTTCAGCAGAAGCAGCAGGTACTGCCTCTTGCCAGGACAGTCAGTAGGCGCATGAGGTGGGAGGTGTCAGATTTGAATCCCTGTAGACCAAAGCAGGATCCTGACAGAGTCCCTAAAGAACTGAACTGTTTGATGGCAGTGCTTGTGTCACCTCTGTCCCTCCCTTTCTGGCAGCACTTTAAAACAGCAAACTCTGCTTGGTAAAGACAGAGGTGAAGAAGGTGTTGAGAACCTCTGCCTTTTCAGCGTTGTTGATGACTAATTCACCTCTCCTTTTTAACAGTGGGCCAGTATTTTCCTTCTGGTTTTGCTTGTTTATGTACCTGAAAAGCCCTTTCTTTGTAGTTTTTGACATCTCTGGCCAGTTTCAATTTGAGCTGAGCATCAACTGCATCTCTGCACATACTGCCAATGCCCATGTAGTTCTCAAAGTGCATTCATCTATTTTCCCATCTCTGGTACGCTTTATTTTTGGTTTGGAGCAGACTCAGAGGCTTGCAGTGAAGTCAAGGGGATCCCTCATTCTGCCTACTTCCTTCAGCTCTAAAGGGGATGAACTGTTTCTGTACTCCAGGAGAGCATTCTTGAAAAACCTCAGTGCTTGCTAGCTCCTTTATCCTCCATGGGAGCTTCACACAGATTCCCTGGCAATTGAGCACTAAACGAGCTGAAGTTTGCATTTCTAAAATCTAAACCTTTTGTCTTATTGCTAACCTTCAGCGTGCTCAGTGGAGTCCTAAACTGCACAACGCTATGATCACTGCAGCCGAGACTATCACTGAGATAATACAAAGCTGGTTTTCTTGGTTTATGAATAGCAAGTCCAGTAGTGCCTCACTCCTGGTTGACTCATCTAGTGTTTATATGAGGATTCCAGATGAAGTGTGAGCTGCTGTATTGTTCTTCCAGCAAATGTCTGGGTAGTTGTCACCCATAAGAACCTGGTTCTGTTGACCCAAAGCTTACTTAAATGACCCAAATATTGCTTCACTGGCCTTATCGTCTTGGTTTAGAAGTTGATAGCAGATGCCTACTGTAATATACCCCTTGGAGATGATCCCTCTGTTATTAACGGAGAGGCATTTGACAGGGCTTCTGCAATCACTGCAGTTGGCTTCTGTATGTTCAAGGCTCTCCTTAACATAGAGTGTGATTCCCTTTCCTCTTCTGACCTGCCTGTTTTTATGAAACAACCTGCAGCCATCTGTTGCAATCCTCCAGACAGGCGAATTGTCTCACCATGTTTCAGTTATGGTATGATAACTTTCTGACTGGGGTCCAGTTCCTCCTGGTTGTTCCCCAGGCTGCATGTATTGGTAGACATAACATGTGAGGTGGTTTGTCTTCTGGTTTGTTCACCTTAGGAGGCAGCTGAGGAGCATTTGTAACTACTCTGGTTGGCCTTGACTCATTGTCCATTTGGTGGCAATGATGTCTTGTTGCCACTTTGGACTCTGCCCCCTGAATCCTTCAGTTTAAAGCCCACCTCACCGGGCTGGCCAGCCTGCTGCCAAATATTCCTTTGCCTCTTCAGGGGAGTCTAGAAGAGGTCATAAAATCGAAGGGAGTTTGTGTACACCCAGCTCCACAACACTGTGTTGTCTGAAACTCCTTCTGGATCTAACTCTAATTCCTGGGGAATTTATAACAGAATTTTATGTATATATAAATATAGTAAATTTTACAAACTGATGTTTTCTTTTATTTCATTTTATTTTCCTGTGTGTGACCTCTTTACATACATTAACAAGATATTTCATACACTAGCACTTCAACATTTAAATTGAGTTACTTTTTCACATTCTAAAATAATATATGGAGATAATTAGTAATGCAAAGAGAGAAAACATAGATTACAATGTTCTTCTAATCTGTCAAAAATTAACAAACTTTCATATCCACTAGGTATTAAGAGTGTATAAAGCTGCAGTACAACAGACATTGGATATACTCTTTCTCCCTGAAGGAAGAGAATTTCTTACAAGCACAGATGCAGTAAGCCGGGACTCAGCTGATCGCACCATTATTGCATGGGACTTCCAAAGTGGTGCGAAAATCTCCAATCAGATTTTTCATGTAAGATTAACAACTAATATTGTTTGGGTCATTATTTAGTATTTCATGCTTGTCAGTGTTGTAAAAAACCCACCTTTTAGTTTTCTAAGATTACTGTGTGATGTATAAAAAGCTCTTAATATAAGTTGAGGGCTTGCTTTGTTTTTATATTTTAAAATGGCTTATTCTGAAAGAGTGACCTTGAAGATTGATAAGTCTCCTTGCGTTAAAAATATTTACATTTCGGTGCTCATTCACTGACATCTAAGCTATATTTAGTCAAGGCCACCGCAAGTGTCATTCTAGCTTGCCAGTGGTGCACGACAGTAGTTGCTATAGTGCCACGTTTCTTTTCCCACACTTTTTCATACATTTTTCATCAACTGCAATGAGGGCTATTGACAAATTGAGTTTAATATTTGCATAGTAATAGCAACCTGATATATGCATATAAATATCTAATACAGCATAATCGCAGAGGCAGAATTTACTTTTATCAGTACAGGTGAAGTATTTCTCTCAGTAGTCTATCCAGGCAAGATATTTAATGGACTAAATTGCCTAGAAGGGCTGACAGCTTCAAAGGAGATTGCTAAGGAAGTTAATAGATAATTCCAACTCCCTTGGTCTTTCTTGAAAACCCAAGTCTAATATCCTATGTAATATAATATGATTTGATTGTATCTAGATGCTTTTTGGCTGAAATGAACAGTTCTCTACTGACGAGCACATGTAGTTGATGATCTAATGGGATTGTTTAATGTTTAATTTCCACAGTTACTTCTTTGCTCAATATTCCATCTATCCACATCTTGGACAGGCAATAGAAAAAATATAAAAATACCATGAATATATAAAGTACAGAGCAGGTGGTTTCAGTACCAAGGAGTAAAAAACAAATAACTTTTTTCTTCTTATTCTGTACCAAGGAAACAACCAAAAAAAAGCCCCCACACCTGCCTTCTCACAACTACCGCATCTCTGAAATGAATTCCCACCCTCCTTTTTTGCATGGTGAATAAACAAAACGTGGTGATGATTTTGGAAATTCTGCTTCACTTTTTTTGAATTTCACCTTTGAACCCTTCAATATGAGAGAGAACTCCTGAGCTCTCCTAACACATTAGATCCCAACAGGAATTGAACTATTACTTGTATACATTAACAAATGAACAGTTAAAAGCTGTAAAATAACCAGTTGCTACAGTATACCCAGCACAACATCACAGGGCTCCTGCACTGCTCCTGCTCCTTCAGGTTCCATTGCATTTCCTGATCCCTTACTGTTAGAGGCAGCTTCTCCCCAGAAGTATGCAGTGCTCTTCCACAGACCACACTTCTAACCAGGCACACTGCCTATAACCCTGTTTTTGTTTCTGTGCCCAGTACCTTACCCAGAAATTCTTTCCCAGTTCACCACTTCCAAACCACACAACCAAACTAGTCTGTTCTTCCCCCTCTGCCACATAGCCCATAGTGTCCATGGTCACTATCAGCCTGGTGTCCTTCACATGCAGACACATCCTACAGCCAAAGCTCTCTTAATCTGCATTCATGGCATCAAAATTCAATTCAAAATTCAGATGTCTTTAGGTTAAGTTGAAACTAGAAGAGGTTTGGACCTGATGGAAACCTTGTGAGAGAAGTTGATTTTTGATGGAGTCACCTTGCAGAGTTTTGAAAGTAATCTCAATTCAGTCTTCAACAGGAATACTAGTGTAAAGCCAGGTTGTTAATTTTTGCAGATATTTATGAATTTACAGCCATCAGCAATCTACTTGGCAAATCACTGTCATAAGGACCTTCTGACTTACTGATCCTTTTTTTTTTTTTTTTTTTCTCTCTTAAGAGTGTTGTGGAGAAAGATGTCTGTTTAAGTAGGGTGATTTTTATTCCTGTCAGTGTGGCCAGAACTGAGAGGATGGAGGATTAGAAAACTGTACAAAGGAGCAGGCGAGGCACAGTATGGCTGTGGGGGAGGAGGATGATTGAGTACCATCAGGTTGGAGTTACCTTTCTCCAGCTGTTCTGCAGTATAATCATGGTTCAAAGGAACATGAGAATTTGGTCAGTATCTAGGAAATTGGGATAGAGATTTGATTTATTATCTGTCTTGGTGTAAGACTTCTGGTGGATTGTAATGAGTTAAGTAATTTTATATAATGTATACTATGATATAATGGAGATGATTTATGTATACATTGCCTTTTATGGCCTTTCAAATGTCATCTTTTGTTTCATACAATAAAAATTTATTTACAATTATTTTCAGGAGCGTTACACTTGCCCAAGCCTGACTCTGCACCCAAAAGAATCTGTGTTTGTTGCTCAGACGAATGGCAACTACATGGCTTTGTTTTCTGCCCAGCGACCTTACCGAATCAACAAAAAGAAAAGATACGAAGGACATAAGGTATCCTTCTTCACTGGGAACTTAGTCTATAAGGAAGACTGTTATCTAAGTGCTTGTGCTTTTTAATATGTCTGCTGATAGTTTATGGTTATAAATCAGTGATACATATTATTTGGCTTCATTTGCTTTGCCATGTGCCAGTGTATTTTGAGTCATATGCACTCTGAAGAAAATAGTTATTAGAAGACTTAATGAATACTTAATAGCTTGATTAAATAAGTTTGTGTTACAGCTGTGTCTTACTAAACACCTGGAGAAGTCCTTAGTGTATATTTGTTTAAAGATACAGTCTTTTTTTTGGCACTATATTCATTTTCAGTGTATCACAATGAACTTGTCTAATCGGTATCAGGATTTACACTGTTATTGATTTTCATAGGTGGAAGGATTTGCAGTGGGCTGTGAATTTTCTCCAGATGGAACACTTTTGGTGACAGGAAGTTCAGATGGCAAGGTGTTTTTCTACAACTATCATACTGCTAGGATTGTTCGCACTTTGTCTGCACATAAAGAAGCTTGTGTGAGTGCAATATTTCACCCAGTCTTGCCGTCGCTCCTTGCAACATGTGACTGGATTGGAGAAATCAAGATCTGGCAATAACAAGCAGAATTATTTTTCAGGTTGTCTCTTGTTATTCTGTCAAAGACATAGGAAATAAACTATGGTATGCAGTGAGAAATTCTGTTGTGATGTCTTGTAAGCAGAAGACTGTCTTTTCTTCTGTGACCTCTAAGTGTGTGTTTTCGTAATGCAGTTAATCACAGAATCACAGAATGTTAGGGGTTGGAAGGGACCTCAAAAGACATGCACCATGCATGCACCGTTTGACTCATTTTTCTGAACCATTGCTGCCTTCTGACCTCCTTCATCCCGCATCCATAAATCTTCTAATGATGATATATCCAAATCATCTTCATCAGCTTCTGTGATCAGTTCTTTCACTTCTTCTTTCTTAATAAATGCCTCTGCAACATTAATACCTCCAGACAGTTTGTTCTTACTTCCATGTTTAGAAAGCCTTTTCCCAAATTGTTCAGTCAGTCTTTGAATAACTGTTCCTTTTGAAGTTTTGACAGGTGTTCCAGCTTCTTCAGCTTCACTTTCCTCCATCCCACCCAGATCGCTTTTATCAAAAGCCTTCTGAAAAGCACTGACTTTGCTGCTCAATGTTTTTGACAGTTTTTGCAGTAGTTGTGGTGGTGGGTCGGGCTGTAGGCTATCATCTTCATCCACTTCTTCCTCTGAACTGAACGGCAGAGATGTGGTGCTAGATGTCCTTCTGGTAACTCCACTTCCAAAAAAAATCATGGATTTTGGTGTGGAGGTGTTCTCATTGACGGCTGTTCTCTGCTCAGCTGGGCAAATGGCTGTTGAGGACCATTTTACAGGTTTTTGTGGTGTGGCAGATCATAGAATCATAGAATGGCCAAGGTTTGAAGAGGCCTTAGAGATCATTTAATCCAACCTCCCTGTCATGGGCAGGGACTAGACCAGGTGACACGTGGTTGAAGAGACTCCTAACTGCCTGAATTTCTGTTTCTCTTCTGAAGGAAGCTGAGGACAGGAAACGGGTCTATTACAAGATGACGATTTCTCTTTGCCCTCAATGCTAACTTGGTGTTCAAGATGCTCTCAAATTCACTGAATGTCAGATTCTTGCTTCTGTTTGCATTTTCTAGCAGATTTGATAGCTCTCAAAATGTCCTCAAAGCGATCATTTGGGATACCACGAAGACTTGCTTTTATTCCAAAGTCATTCAGCTTCTCCTCCAGGGCTTGCTCCCAATAAACCCATAATTCTTTAGTTAAAGAAGAAACAGTCTTCAAAGCAGCTTTCAAATAGTGGTTACTTCTACCTGCTTTATTATCACTCTTCTCAGTTTGATGCGTCACTTGTGGACTTGGTTTAGATTCTTCAAGATGCTCTGCAGAAGTGTTCACTTCATACAGTTTAACATTTGCAACTGATCTGGTGGCCAATTCTTTTAACTGCTTGTTTTGGGTAATAATCACACCATTCTTCTCCTGAAGCTCTTGCTCCAATTCTTCTATCCTCCTCTTGTAAAAGATGCTATTTTTATTTTTTATTTTGTTTTTTTTTTTTATTTATTTTTTAAGATGGTCTTGTGGTTAGCTGCTGAGCAAAGAAGTGGTCTTGCTCTCTCCCTTAGCCCTAGTGATAAATTTCTGTCCCTTTTATGCCAATCTTCTGGTGCTCATCTCAACCAGGTTTTCTTCATAGAATCATAGAATTATTTAAGTCAGAAAATACCCTTAATATCATTGAGTCTAACCATAAACCCAACACTGTCAAGTCCGCCACTGAACCATGTCACTGAGTGCCACATCTACACATCTTTTAAATACTTCCAGGTATGGGGAGTCAACCACTGCCTTGGGCAGCCTGTTCCAGTGCTTGATGATCGTTTTGGTGAAGAAATTTTTCCTGATACCCAATCTAAACCTCCCCTGGTGCAACTTGAGGCCATTTTCTCTTGTCCTTATCAAAAGCTTGTGAGGATGTATTATTTAACAGAGGATGATGTTTAGATTAATTAATGCCTATTTGATCTCTCTGGGATTTTTTTTTCCACTAATTTAAACTATTTTTCATGAGTTTAGCTCCCTGACCTGGTCACTGAACAGTTAGGCAACCAATAGCCTAGTTCAGGGCAAAACAACTTCTGTTCACAAGAAGGGAAAAGATCATGGGGCATGTGGGACTGCTTCTTTTGGAAATGGGTAGCTGTTACAAGCTCAACTTATTGTAAGATGCCTACTGAAAGTTGCAGGGAAAGGTGTGCCAGATAACATGAAGTCAATAGACTTGTGTTCTTGAAATCTTGATGCTTAAGCTTGAGTTTTAAATTTGTGACTGTACATAAACAAAGCAAAACTATGTGTAAATATTTTTAATGAAAAAATAAACTTTTTTTTATACATTGTGTGTGTATTTTTCACTGTTTTACTCCTGTTATTCTTGACAAGTTAGAACTCAAGGCTATCATGGAATTGTTACTTGGGGGGTGGGAAACAATATGCTACCCTAATTTATTGAGAACACATCTGTTTCCCCTTACTCCTTGGTGTCACTTAGACACAGAAAACATTCAGACAGGAGCTGGGCTATTCTGCAGCTAATAGAAAATTCATTAGGATGTAACTGTGTGTTTATGTACGTATAGGTTGCTTGTAAATGTATTTTAAATTTTTATTCCCTGTACTTGTATTTCTTGGTTCTAGACATTATTATCCATTTATACATGTGTGTTAGTATATATATGTATCACCATGTGTATTCCCAGCCTTGACTCCATATAAGTGTGTGCTATTTTGTAGTGAGTGCTATAAGCTTGGCTTGTGTTTGGTCTGATTAGTCTATAAAGGTATTTTAACAAACACAGGATAGTTACGTTGAATAAATTGTCTCTGTCATGGAATCCAAAAGTCACGTATCATAGCAACTTTTCCTCCGTAGCATCTTTTTATTCTTCTGATTTTTTCTTGTTGGCACAAACACAAAGTTTTTTTAATCCATTTTTCACATATGCAGTTAAAACAGCTTTTTCGGAGAAGAATTTTCAGAGCACTCTTGCAAATGGCAAATTTTAACTGAGTAATGAGCAAAATGTACTCTATTGGTTTATAGTTTCTGTTGCTTTTAGTTTGTAGTAAGAAATAAGCCAATAAACCTGTACCGAGACTGTGGGTCCTCAGTTATACTGTTTGAAGTCAGGACCAAGATATTGTAGCTGTGTGGTTTTAATCATCTTATAAACAATTATGGCGGGTTTTGACACAGGGCATTAAGTTTTAATGAACCATGCAACGTAATGCAAGTAACCTTTTTCCTAGAATTCTAGTTTGGCAATTAGCTGTTCGACGGGAGCCTGAATTTTGCACTTCTCTTGACTGTGCCTCTAGGATACAAACCAGCTTGGACATTTTAATGACAACTGGTTCCACGATCTGGTGAGTTACTTTTAATTCAAGCTGTGGGATCTTTGTAAGTGTCAGAAGGAGTTCGGTTGAGGGTGAAGTAATAGTTTCTTACCACTGGGCAGGCTGAATCTCGACTGCACAGCATTTTCTGAGAGGATGGCTCTGTGTCCTCCCCTCAAGCTATTTTAGTTTAAAATGTGGTGTTGCCACTTTAAAACTTCTGGCAACCAGTTGCGTCTGTATGAAGGATGGACAGCACTGTAGCTGTGCAACGCATCCTGTTGTCTCCAAAAAGATTTTTCTCTGATTTTATTAAATACAACGTTGGGAAAGGCCTCTGAAAGAAATGTGAACTCACGATAGAAATGCCTTATTGGATGAGGCTCCAGCTTATGTAAAGATTACTCTGTATCTGAATGAGATCTCAGCACACTCAGCCTCAGCTGAGAGCACCTCTGGGTAGAGCGAAAGATCCAAATGAGCAGTCTTTGGGAATCATTGCACATACTGTGTAGAAAAGTAACTGCATTTTGTAATATTATCCGTGTTGTTGCTTAAGTTTAACTTATGTCCTGAGGCTTGATTCTGGTGTCTGGCATTTATTCCTCCTGAAATCATCTTGCAAGTATAAATTTTAGACTCTTTTTGGGGTGGAGGGAGAAGCTTAAATGTGATTAAAGGTAGTAGAGAAAACTAAGGGAGACTTGAAACTGTATGATCTTAAATAACATTAAAATTAGAATTGCATTTGTGTCAGATTTCCAAGATGGCTGGAGTTTTAATTACTTATGAGATTCAGCCAAAGGTTTTATAATGCAATGAAATTATGTTCACAGTATTATCTTGTTAAAATCTCTTTCCAATATAACACTGATTAAGACACAGACTGAAATTTAATCATTGGAAATATTTTAGAATAGTGATGTCAATTAAGTTTTCATTATGATTCAAAGACAAATTCTTCCTTGTAATCTTATGTAATGAACTGTAATCAAAAAATATCCACATTGCTCCATCATTCTGCAATTACCAAATACTGTTTGGGCTGCAAACAAGGATTATTATGGTCCAATGAAGCTTTTAGAATGTAATGAATTGTTGATTAATTAATTTTATTCATAAAATTGTAATCTAGAAATTTTTGAATCTTGCTTTAGGAGCAGTTCTTCTAGCTTTATACAGAGTTCTCTAGAGCATCATATATTAGAGCTAAGGCAGAGATCTTGAGCCTTTTGAAATGTTCTGGGCCATGCAGATGAACAAGCCAGATTCATTTTAATCTGTTTTGTAGTGTACCAAAAAGTAATAATGCCAGTCTCTGCCACTCTGTTATTTGCTACTGGAACGTTATTAATTTGAGATGTCAGTGGATGCAAGCTATTCAACTGTCTTTATCTCAAAAACCTGCTAATTAGCCAACAGTTATTAGAATTGTGTTCACTCAGCTGACATACTGTTGGTGAGTCGCTCTATATTTCAACTATAGGCATAATCACGAAAATAAGGCATGGCATTATATTGCAATGAGGTGACTTCATAGGGGATAGGCAAATGTAAAGCTACAGGACTATGCCAGAACAAAATGGTGAGATCAAAAAGTCACGGGATCTCAAATTTCCTGTTATCCTGATATATGGGCTTGTACTGCATTCAAGTGA